AAAACGCCTGTCTTCGAAAACTCTTGAGCTTATTCGCCAGTGTGCTTTGGCGCATGGCTCAGGCAACCACAAGCTAATGTCCGAGCTCGCAAAGCAGTGCAGAGATGCGATCAAGGAAGACCTCAAAGAGAGAAGAGCAGAAGTGCTGGTAGATGTGGCAGAAGCCAGGAAAAGTATTCGTAACGCCCGCCTGTCCTTTGCCAACTACAAGACAAAAATGACTGCCCTCCGACGTCCTGATGGATCCATCACATCCTCCAGAATGGCAATGGAGAAGATTATCCATGACTTTTACTCAAATCTCTTCGATAGCCATGTCCACTTGCCAACATACCAAATTCCACAGGATGGATATGTCGCTTCCAATGTTTTCCCTTCTGAAATCCGACACGCCATTTTGTCAGTAAAGAAATGAACAGCACCCGGCCCAGACAAGGTCAGACCTGAACACCTGAAGAACCTGCCGTCAGTACTCATCAATACACTGGCTCGGCTCTTCACATGCTACTTGTCTGAATGCAAGGTTCTGTCCCAATGGAAAACCAGCAGAACTGCACTACTGTTCAAGAAGGGAGACATCCATGACATTGGCAACTATCGCCCTATCTCCCTATTGTCTGTCATCTACAAGTTGTTCACTCGAGTCATCCTAAATAGGATTGGCAGAAGACTAGATGAAGGATAACCATGCGAGGAAGCCGGGTTCCGCAAAGGATTCAGCACCATTGACCATATCCACACGATAACCAAGCTCATTGAGGTTTCTCGGGAATTCAAGATGCCGCTCTGTTTAACGTTCATTGATTTAAAGAAGGCCTTTGATTCTGTTGAGACAGAAGCGGTCATTGAAGTCCTAGCCAATCAGGGCATTCAAGCCCAATACATCAAGATCCTGCATGAGCTGTATTGCGGATTCACTACCAGGATTTTACCATTCTACAAAGAAGTAATCATTGATATCAAGAGAAGGGTTCGGCAGGGCCATACCATTTCACCGAAACTCTTCAGTGCCACCCTCGAGAACATCATGCGATGACTGGAATGGGAAGGAATGGGAGTGAAGATAGATGGTCGGCACCTACACCACCTCCGCTTTGCTGATGACATTGTTCTAATAACACCAAACATCAGCCAAGCGGCACAAATGCTGGCCAACTTTGACCGTGAGTGTGGAAAGGTAGGACTACAGCTGAATCTTACGAAGACAATGTTTATGAGAAACAGCCTCATTCCTGACGCCCCATTCGCTCTCAACGGAACGACCATCTCCAAATTCAACAGCTATGTGTACCTAGGTCGAGAAGTCAACATGACAAATTACCTGGCACCCGAGCTGCTCAGGAGGAAGAGATCGGCTTGGAATGCCTTCAAGAACGTCGAAGAAATAGCTAAGAGGACGAAGAACCTCCGGCTCTGGGAACATGTCTTTGATTCCACTGTTCTTCCTGCATTAACATATTCCTCAGAGACTTGGGCCCTACACAAACAAGATGAGAACACTATTCATGTCTCCCAAAGAAGAATTGAAAGAGCTATGCTTGGAATATCACGTTTCACTCAAATGAGAGAAAGAATCCAGAGTTCCGACATCCGTTGACGATCAAGAGTCAGGGACGCTGTCTCATTTGTCAAGGTGTCAAAAATCAGATGGGCTGGTCACGTAATGAGATTTAAAGACGACCGCTGGACTAGAGCTGTTACTGACTGGATTCCACCAGACGTTAAAAGACCGCATGGCTGCCCACCTACCAGATGGTCAGACTTCTTCATCAAGATCATGAAGGATCGGTTTGAGGCTCTTCATGATCCCAGAGCGAACAAATGCTATTGGGCTACACTAGCACGTGACAGGGACAAATGGAGACGTTACTGGCGCCCGCTTGAGCAAATCGACGACTAACGGGAAGTTAAGTGATTAAGTGAAGTGATTAATGCTGTAAATCATGCTATCTAAATAAAAAAGAAATATATTTATGCTATTAAATAGAAAAAGATATTGTGTCAAAATCAAAGAAATTAAAAAAAAACTTCCTACCATATTTATTAATACAAACAACATATTATTCTACTTATTTTGGGAATTCATACCCATAGCTTTGGAAAAAATGTTAACGTTCAGAGAACAAAGCTTTTTGAAAATAAAATGCTAATTATTTAATAGAATTTTTTGTAATTAGTGGTTTGATGAATATTTTAAAACAACATTCATTGAAATAGTGTTACCTGTCTATTTCTTAGTTTTTCTAGCTGGAAAAAATTAAAATAAAGAAACGGTACAGTTAGGAACATCTGTATAAAGAAAAGCACTTCTGAGAGATTTTGTGAATATATAACAAAGAACACTTCTGAGAGATTTTGTGAATATAATAACAAAGAACAATAAATCTAATTCATTTGACAAAATTTTTAGCTTTATTGTTCATATGCTCAAGACTCTGAACAAAATTACATTATGTCCTTCGGAGCCAATGGCATTCTAACTGAAAATATCTACATCAAAGTGAATTAGAACCCCCAGTTATTTTTTTCCACTAAGTAACACAAAAGTACTGCTATTTCCAAAATGATTATTGAAGGCCTATGCTATGGAGTCATAGGGAAAGAATCTTGGAGTTACAATTTTCTGTGTACTCCAAGGTAAGGATAACTTTAATATTTCATAAGGCTTCAAAAATATACTGGAAATAACAAAAGGGAATGCCCTGCTACAGTGGCAGGGTGGAATGGGGGGGGGGGATAGAGGGTGGGAGAGATACTGGGATTAGTGGTGGTGGAGAATGGGCACTGGTGGAGGGATGGGTACTCAATCATTGTATAACTGAAACCCAAGCACAAGAATTTGTAAGTCTACAACTGTACCTCACGGTGTTTCACTAATAAAAATTAAAAAAAAAAATATATACTGGAAATAACATTACCGAAATTTTAAGGAAATCACCCTTTCATGTGTTATTCACTAGTGGAAACAATTTTCATTCAAATCTGCATATATTTCTTTGTTAGAAGCTTTTAAAATATTCTTTGCAAAACACTCATATATTGTTGCTTATTTTTAAATACAACATATTTCTATGACTGAATTTTCACTATCAACAATTTGTACAGTGGAATGGTTTCCTTTGTGATAACAAGGTAAAGATGGAGGAGGAAAGTAGTCGGATAAATTCAGATTTGGGGATTTTCCAGGCTTTTGATACTGAAAAAATTGGAACGCTGACAAGAGGATGGGAGAGACACTCAATGGACTGAAGCTTATGCTTTGTATGAAGGTGGCCATATTCTGTCCCAGGCACTGTGTGGACCCAAGTACAGAACCAAAACTAGTTCCTGAGCTCTGCTGGGTATAGCCAAAGCCAAAAAGAAATAAATGAAAAGGAAAAAAAAAAACCAATGGCAATAAATTAGGTGAATAAATGGTTCATGAATCCAAGTTGAATATGGAAGATTGTTATGTTTAGGAGGAAGCTAAGATGTTGATAAAAAGAAAGGGAGTTGGGGCCTGGAGGAATTTATGCAGTGAAGCAATTAAGAGACAGAGCAGTAAGAATGGGAGATCTCCAGTTGAAGATTTCAGAGGAAGACATTACTAGCTTTTTTGTCACATAACTAATTAACCACATTTGGTGACAAAATGCAATGTGTTTTTATTTTTATTTATTTAGTTTTGTTTGTTGGGCCATACTCAGTGGTGCTCAGGACTTGCTCCTGGCTATGCTTAGGGATCACTCCTGGTAGGGCTCAAAGGACCATATAGGGTCCCAGGGATAAAATCCAAGTTTGCTAAGTGCAAGGCAAAAAAAAAACTTGCCTGTTATGCTATCTCTCCAGCTCTTTTGTTAAATGTTCCAATTCTAATGGATTACGAATTCAAACATGACTTAGTTAGGTTCACTCCTTAGTGTCCCAAACAGCTGTTTCAGACTGCTTTTTCATGTGGAGACATAGTAGAAAAAATTATTTCTAAGATAATTCAGTTTGATTGTAGCATTCATGTCCAGTTTTAGGACTGATTGGTCCAGCTTCTTAAAGCCTGAAATGTGGAAACCACTTTGATTCCACCAAGCTACCTACAGTGTATATAGGCCCTTACCATGAGGGTTTTCCAAGGTGGTTATTTATTTCACCGAATGAGAAACTAGTCCCCAGGCTGGGTGGAGAATTATATAATGTAGTGTAATCAAGAGACTAGCATCCTATCACCTGCAGCACTGTAGCACTGTCCTCCCATTGTTCATCGATTTGCTCAAGTGAGCATCATTAACGTTTCCATTGTGAAACTTCTTGTTACCGTTTTTTGGCACATCAAATACACCACAGGGAGCTTGCCAGGCTCTGCCGTGTAGGTGGGATACTCTCAGTAACTTGTCGAGCTCTCTGAGAGGGATGGAAGAATCGAACCCAGGTCAGCCGTATGCAAGGCAAACATCCTACCTGCTGTGCTATCGCTCCAGCCCCCATCACCTGTACCACATTATATTGGTTAGAAGTTAAGTAATAGTTCCTACCCCTACTTAGGGAAGAATAACACACTAAATATAGTGTACTCAAGATAATAACATCCCATCACCTCTATTACGTTATATTGGCTAGAAGTTAAGTCACAGTTCCTACCCCTACTTAGAGATCAATCACACCGAGGCATCATCAACTGGTGAGGGCAACTATGGGAACCATCACAGAGGATGTCTGTCAGAATACAGAGTATCAGAGAATCACCTGATTGTTTTGCCTTGCACAACTGCAAGAAGTAATTTGTCCTTAGGTACCAGAGTACTTTGTTAATTGTTGATATGTGGGAATTGGCAGGACTTCAGGAAAAAGGAAAAGAATGGGGAGAGCTGAAGATGAACCTGCAGAAGGAAGTCATTCTAGTGACGCAGAAGTCTCTAAGAAATCAGTGCTGCAGAAGCAGAGACTTCTAATTAATTTTTTTAAAGAAGCATAAATTCTCAGCATCGCCGTTACTCCGAGGAGAGACCAGTCGGTGGAGGGGTGCAAGAATGCAGAGCAATAAAACCTTTAACTTGGAGAAGCAAAACCATGCTCCAAGAAAGCATCAACAGCATCATCACCAACAGCACCACCAGCAGCAGCAACAGCAGCCGCCACTAATACCTGCAAATGGTCAACAAGCCAGCAGCCAAAATGAAGGCTTGACAATTGACCTTAAGAATTTTAGAAAACCAGGAGAGAAGACCTTTACCCAGCGTAGCCGGCTCTTTGTGGGCAATCTTCCTCCTGATATCACTGAGGAGGAAATGAGGAAACTATTTGAGAAATATGGGAAAGCTGGTGAAGTCTTCATTCATAAGGATAAGGGCTTTGGCTTTATTCGCTTGGAAACACGAACTCTAGCCGAGATTGCCAAAGTGGAGCTGGACAACATGCCACTCCGTGGCAAGCAGCTTCGTGTGGGCTTTGCTTGTCATAGTGCATCCCTCACAGTTCGAAACCTTCCTCAATATGTGTCCAATGAACTGCTGGAGGAAGCCTTTTCTGTGTTTGGCCAGGTAGAGAGGGCTGTGGTCATTGTGGATGATCGAGGAAGGCCCTCTGGAAAAGGCATTGTTGAATTCTCAGGGAAACCAGCTGCCCGGAAAGCTCTGGACAGATGTAGTGAAGACTCTTTCCTGCTAACCACATTTCCAAGGCCTGTGACTGTGGAGCCCATGGACCAGTTAGATAATGAAGAGGGATTACCAGAAAAACTGGTTATTAAGAACCAGCAATTTCACAAGGAAAGAGAACAACCACCCAGATTTGCCCAGCCTGGCTCATTTGAGTATGAGTATGCCATGCGCTGGAAGGCACTCATTGAGATGGAGAAATAGCAGCAAGACCAGGTGGACCGTAATATCAAGGAAGCTCGTGAGAAGCTGGAAATGGAGATGGAGGCTGCTCGTCATGAGCACCAGGTTATGCTCATGAGGCAGGATTTGATGAGGCGCCAAGAAGAACTTCGAAGAATGGAAGAGCTCCATAATCAAGAAGTGCATAAACGGAAGCAACTGGAGCTCAGGCAGGAGGAGGAGCGTAGGCGCCGTGAGGAAGAGATGCGGAGACAACAGGAAGAAATGATGCGGCGACAGCAGGAAGGATTCAAGGGAACCTTCCCTGATGCGGTATACCTCCCATGTGCCCATAATAGAGAACAGGAGCTGCGGATGGGTCAGATGGCTATGGGAGGTGCTATGGGCATAAACAACAGAGGTGCCATGCCTCCTGCTCCTGTACCGGCTGGTACCCCAGCTCCTCCAGGACCTGCCACTATGATGCCAGATGGAACCTTGGGATTGACCTCACCAACGACTGAGCGCTTTGGCCAGGCTGCTACAATGGAAGGAATTGGGGCAATTGGTGGAACCCCTTCTGCTTTCAACCGTGCAGCTCCTGGAGCTGAATTTGCTCCAAACAAACGTCGCCGATACTAATAAAATTGCATTGTCTAGTTTCCTAAAACCCTTAAAGAAAAGGACCCTTTTTGGACTAGCCAGAATTCTACCCTGGAAAAGTGTTAGGGATTCCTCCCAATAGTTAGGTCTTCCCTGCCTGTAGTACTCTATCTAGGGAGTCTGCTGGAGGCAGAGGGCAAGGGAGGGGAGATCATTACAAATCAATGCTGTGTGGTATATTGTTTCTGTGTGGTGCATTCCTGAAGTCTCATGTGATTGTTGAGCCTAAGGGAACCATGACAAAATGGATCCAGTTAGAGCCCCATTACTCATGATCATTCCATTTGTCCATCTTGTTCTATTTGCTTATTCATACCCTGCAACCCCAACGACACTGCCACGTATACCACTAAAACCAAACATCCCCCATGACCTTAGCCCCATTGCTCCATTCACTCCCAGGTGGGAATTCCAGCAAATGTCCATAGAGGTCACAGACAACATATGTACTGGTTCTGTTATATCCCATATATTACCCTTTCATGTCTTAAGGAAGACATTTTCTCTTAGAGATTTTCATTTTAGTATATCTTTAAAAAATCTTGTGTTAACTTCCTTCATTATTTTCTTGGGTAAAGAAAAACCCATGGATCACCAATTTTGTCTATGGTGTTGCTTGTCACAGCTTTTCTTGATAGGCCCAGTACAATCTTGGAAATAGGGTTGCTGTAGGCTAAAGGTCAGACAGTAGCTCTTCAGCTTGCCTGTCTTAGGTAGTTATGCTGTTCATTTTTTTTTATTAGTGTGCCATGTTTGATTTGTCCCTGATAATCTTTGGAGTTTTTCTGAGATATGGAGCAGTAAAGCAGCATCACCTTATTAAAATACATTTTAAGCCTTTAAAAAAAAAAAGAAGCATAAATTCTCAAATCCTTATAAAAGTCACTCATGTGCTATTTTTGGTAAGTTCCATAGTGAAAGAGAAAGGTGCATGCTTGATATTTTCTCTTATTTTATTCAGAGGATTAGTTAGAAAATTTGTCTTGAATAGAACATAAGATGTTTATTTTTATAATCCTGTTTTTAACCATATAAAAATATATACAAAGTATATGGCAGGTTTTTAGAATCTAAATCTATAATATGGAGTTTATGTGTGAAAAGAATGATGCTGATTTGAAAAGAAACTCATAAGCAAGTTTGATATGTGGGCTGTCTTTTTTTATAACATTATTTTATTACAAAGGGATAAAATACTCTCAAATCTGTTTATAAACCATTTGCTCCCAAAGAACAATCATCTCTTTACAAAAGTGGGTTATTTAGTTCTCAGCTACAGTTTTTGGCATAGTATTAAATTGTAACTTGCAAAAAAATAAAAATTTAATGTTTTTATTAAGGATTAAAAATTGTAGAATTTCTCAGTTTATTCTGCAGGTTCCTCTCTTATATTTCCAAATCACAATCCCCTTAATTATGAGTTAGCTCTTTGGCTTCTGAAATGAGAAGATACACTGAATTGTGGGAGAAGAAAACATTGACCTTGAAGAAGAAAATGAAGGAGAAGGGTCTAACAAATATATATTCGACCCTTTCTCCCCAGATAGAAGATACACATTCTTCTCCAGTGCACAGTTTTCAAAATAGACAAAACAAGACAGTTTTCAAAATAGACAACATGCAGAGTCACAAAATATGTATGATTTATCAAGAAGATAAAAATTATGTCAAGCATCCTCTCAGACTTTGAAAATTCAAATTAATGTCAAACAGAAAAAAGGAAAAGATTCACTTAGATATTAAATAAAATTAATTTAATACATAAGAATTTTCTGAATTCAAAATTATTATTACGCCAAAAATTCTTTAAAAAACCTAGTCAGGGAGCAATAGATGGTCATAAGAAATAGAACTGAAGAGTCTGTCTACATAAGTGAGCTTAGCAGGAGGATGGTGGGGAAGGGGTTGGAACAAAGTGAATTGGAGGGATTCTTGGGACACTAGTAAAGTGAAACATGCAGTGTGGTGGTGAGTGTTGTATTGAGATTATGTATGCATGAAAGTGACATTAGCAATGTTACAAATCATAGTGCAAAATAATAAATAAATAAATAAGAAAACAAGACCATCTCTTAGTCTTTCCTTTGTTCCACTTTACACAACTACCCCCTTTGTCACATTTGAAAGTTTATATCTGGACTTTTACTTCTATTCCACTAATCTAAAAGTCTATCTTTGTTTCAGTACCATAATATTTTGTTTTCTATAGTGCTATAGCAAAAGTTAAGGTCGAGGAGCCCAAGAACTCCCATCTTTTTTTCCCTCAGAGTTATTTTGGCTATTTGGGGAATTTTATGGTTTCATATTCATTTTAGAAATATTTATTATATATCCTTGAGGATGCCATAGGAATTTACATGGGACTCACTTTGCATCTGTAATTAACATTGTATAAAATGGTCATTTTAACAATGTTAGTCCTTCCAGTTCTTGAACAATATGAACTTCTATTTCCTTGGATCTTATATAATTTTGAAAGTGAAATATATTCTTTAAATAGATAATTCACCTCTTTTATTGGTTTCTTTTTTATGTAGGAGTACTGCTATTTATTCAGCCACTGATTAGCTGATTGAATTGGGCATGCACTCCACCTTACCTTTTTTTTCATTTTTTATAATTTTATTTAATGAATCACCGTGAGAGCAGTTACAAAGCATTCGGGTTTAAGTCTCGGTCATACAATAAAACACCCGTACCTTCACCAGTGCCCATTCTCCACCTCCAAAAACCCCAGTGTACCCCCGTCCCACACCCTCCCCCTACCTGTGGGGCAGATGCTTTCCAAATCACTCTCTTTATACTTTGATTACATTCAAAATTTTGACACCAGACCCACAATTATTATTTGGAATTTTACCCCAAGAGCCCATGGCTCCATGAGAACTTCTTGAAGATAGAAATGAATCTCTGTTCTGTGAAGATAAAGTGAAATTCTGGAGCAGTTTGACTACTGCTGCATGAAGCTGGTGGTATAAAAGGTCTGTGTTGAGCACATGCTCATAACAGACTTTACCATTTCTAACTGCCTCCCCTCACTCCCACCACCACCACCAAGTATTTCATAGGTGACCAAGGTGGGTAAAAAGAAAGAGAATAGTCCTCTCTTGAGACTGTCACCTCTCTTCTTTCCACTTCACATAAACTACCTGCAACAAAAAAATTCTGATCTCTACATCATGCATACAAAAAGATCAATTCAAAATGAAATTAAGACCTTGATCTCAAGTTTCCATCTTAAATTTTATGGAGGAAAACATAATCAGGACTTTCCAACATCTTTACTTCAAAGGAGTATTCACTGATACTAACTCATTTGCAAGGGAAGAAAAAGCAGAAATTAACAAATGGAATTATATCTCACTTAAAAGCTTTTGTACCATAGAGCTGAAGAAATAGTACAGTGGGTAAGATATTTGCTTTGCATGTGGCAGACCAGGATTTGTTCTTCAACACTCTAGATGGTACCCCAAGCCCTGCCAGGTTTGATTCCTGAGTGCAGAGCCAGGAGCAAGCTCTGAGAAATTCTACGTGTGACCCCAAAATCTCAAACCAAAAGAAAAAATAAATGAAGCTTTTGTACTTCAAAAGAAATGAGCCCCAAATGAACATCTCACTGATTGGGAGAAAATATTTACCCTTTATATATTAGACAAAGCGTTAATATTCAAGCTATGTTAAGCACTCTTGAAACTCAGCAACAACAAAACTAACTCTCAAATAAAACTGGGGAGAGATGAACAGAAATTCCTTAAAGCAGATATGACTATTTCAGCAGGCACATGAAAAATTGTTTATTGTCACTGATTATGAGGAATATACAAGCCAAATAACAATGAGAATACACCAGTGAGAATGACCTATATAAAAAAGATTGGAAACAATAGTAATGGCAGGAATGTGGTGAAAGAACTCTCATTCATTACTAATACAGTTCAGCCTCTCTTAAAAATATTTGGAGACTTCTCAAAAGAACTTCCACATGATCCTGAGACTCTATTCTTAAAAGTGTACCCTAACAACACATGCACACCCCTGAAAAGACATATGAATATCTATGTTAATTACTGCATTATTTACAATAACTAAGATGTCGAAACAACCCAAGTGCCCGCAAACATGTATAGATAAAGAATGTATCTAGTTACATGGGATACTATATAACTATGAGGAAAAAAGAAATTTGTGAATTTCTGCAACTTGGCTGTAATTGGAGGACTTTATGCAAGTGAAATGATTCTGTTGCATGAACGTTTGTTAATCAGACACGCTGAGACAAGGAACATGAGAGAAATTATTTCATGGAGGGCCACTGGACTTGCTCAGCTCCTGTGATAAAAGGCAGAGCATCCTGAGGTTTCCTTATTGATCATCCTATCTCTAAAGGGCGCAATACAATGACTTCATCAAAAAAAGTTAAAGAAAGAACATTGAGGCAGTAAAGCATGTATTGTTCCCTTGTGTCTGCAGGCCAGTGGATTTTGGCCTCTTAAAAGAGATACAAAACCTAAACTGAAACCTTTCTTGGGCTATAAGCATTTGGGTTTGCTTCCCAAAGACAAGCTGGGTTTGTACCTGAAATCTATATTCCAAACTGGGCAAGCATCTGAAATTTGCATCCCAAAGACTAGGCTGGGCTAGCAGCTGAAATCTGCATGCCAAATATCAGGATGGGCTAACACTTAAGATCTGCATGTCAAAGACCAGGCTTCTATGAGAAAAGGAAAACTGCCTCTTTCAATATACTGACATTTATGAAATTATTTACTGAAGGCAACTTAAAGAAAAAGATGTTAAGCTTCATCCAAACCAGTCAGGACACAGGAGAACTCTAGCCTATTTTCATGGGTCCATACTGTTCCTGCCTATTGTGAGGTGCAGTCTACATCCTGATGGCTCAGTCCAGTCCCAGCATGATTCCAAGAGTAAAAGATGTGTAACAGATGATTTCACAAACATGAGGTGTGTTAAGAAAAAAAAACAAACAAAAATGGATTGTATAATCCTCAATACAAACAAACCTTGAAATATGATAAATAAACCTGAGAACGGCAGAGATTGGTCATGAAATCATTGTTGAGATATCTTAGGACACAGATGGTGGTGTTCAGGGCTTAAGCCTGGCTCTGTGATCACAGATAACTCCAGGGGGTGCTTGAGGGTTATACAGGATGCTGGAGATAGAACATGGGTTAGTCCCATGCAAGGCAAGCACTTTTCATTGATCATTGATCATCTTCACTCTTCATTGATCCAGTCCTAAAAAGAATTGACTTTTAATGCTCTTCATCAATATTCCTAAGACTATGAATCGATGGAAATGCTAGAGTTATTTGAAATTTGTCACTTAAAAACATTAATAATAATTAACATTATTCAGAAAAATTATTCACTATCCTTACTTCTTTTATTTGTCATTTTCTTTTGAGTCACACCCAGTGATGCACAGGAGTACTCCTGGCTCATGCACTCACCACCACTTTTGGTGGTGCTCCGGGGACCATATGGGATGCTGGGAATCGAACCAAGATTGGTCACGTGCAAT